ATCATCATCATGTTACCTGGTCCAGCGAAGCAGTTTTCAGGGTGGACTGTCGCAGCCTTGATATGTCTTGGTTCATGAGCGTGTTTCTTGCGTTGGGTCTACAAAAATTGTCAATGCGAGTGAATTCTTAATTACAAACTCTTCTCCCAAATGTTGCAAATGCTGTTTGTTTCTTCAGTTATGGCCGTGTGGTATTAAACTCGACGGTTGCGCGGTCGGAGTCTGTAGTAGTCTAAAAGGGCAAGTAGGATGTATACACTAGGAGAAAATCTAACAGGGGGTCTAAGACCACAAGAAAATTTCATTGGAGACAGTCACCCTGATTTTTAAAGTGTTTACTTTAAGGACTCTGATGGACACCACAACTCTTATGTGAAGGAATGCAGCGTGATAATTGCGTTGGCGTTCAGGTCGCAGGTAACAAAAAGAATGATCACTGCGTGGGCTGCCTTGGTGTCTGACTGGAGCATCTGTGACATGTTGTTTTTAATGTGAAGATTTATCGCTTTTTAATCGTTCTGTTTTTTCCAAAATCATTCAAGAAAAATTAATGACATGAACCCAGTATATCTGATAAACCTTAGCATTGTGAGGTATGTGTAATTCCACACACTTGTTCCACTCAACCCATTCCCAATACAATCTACAAACATTTTTGTATGTATTTGCCAGTGTTTGTGTGCATCTCTCTCTCTCTCTTTCTCTCTCTCTGTGCATGTCTATGTATACATGTCCGTGTATATATTTGTATGTGGTAGTGTGCATGTGTGTGTGCGCGCGCGCGCGTGTGTGTGTGTGTTGCTTCCTTAATGATGCACAAACGTGTGCAGAAAAGTGACACACGATGAAAGCCCCCTACCAGTGATCAACATACGCATCACACTGAGATGGGAAGCGTTTGGTAAAGTGGACAACGTCATGTTAAGCAAGAAGGCTGGTGATAGACCCGAGAGGAACGTTTAAACCCAGTACATTCTCCCTGTGATGACTTACGGCACTAAAATGGAAATGCTCAGGGTTGCACAGCGGAAGATGGACAGGATCATGCTGGGTATAACACTCGGAGACAGGAAAAGAAACTCCTGGATCCGACAGGAGTAACGGACATCATCACTGCTGTCAACACGGCCTAGCACCGCTTGGCAGGACATGTAGCAAGACTACAACACAACACGTGGACGCTAAGAGCCTGCTAAGTGAACACCTAGAGAGTGAAGGAGAGACAGACAACGGCCCTGTACAAGATGGAGGGGCAGTCTAGTGCAACACTGGGGTCTACATGGTCCAGAACTGTCATTCTAAATCCAAGCGCATTTCTGAAAAAACCTCCCAAACTGTGGGCTTGAATTATGTGGCCTCTACTTTGAGAAGTTGTAACCCTCCCCACATACTTCTTACTAAAGTACTGTGTCGTTACCGTAAATAACTTGACAAGTATTCTGTGTAATGCTACGAATGGCATGGTTAAATGTAATCATTCACTCCGTACATGATACTAGAATTTTAACATCGAAAGCTCATAACGCTTAAGATACAAATTAACATTGATGGCGAATGCCTGTCACATATCTCATTCACGGATAGTATCATCTTGGTATCAATTCAGTAGGCCTCAGCAGGAGGTAGGTCAGTAGGCAAATTCAGTAGGCCTCAGTTAGATAATGTATAACAAACATATAAACAAATCATAAGTAGCGTACTACTAGTTATTGGGACAGAAATAAAAGCGGTGGGATGAACAGCTAGCTACATCTACGTGTGCAGAAAGTGACACACGATGGAATTGTCCTGCCTGAGATCAATAGATGCACACTGGGGGTGGGATGAGTTTATGGTAAAATGGACAACATCATAAGAAGTAAGAAGGCTAGTGTCAGACTCAAGACAAAACATGTAGTCTGGACAGGACATGTAGCAAGGCTACAGGACAACACGTGGACACTTGAGAGTAGAGGAGCCGCACAGGGCAGCCCTATTTGTGTGTTTGTGTGTGTGTGTGTGTGTGTGTGTTTGTGTGTGTGTGTGTGTGTGTGTGTGTTTGTGTGTGTGTGTGTGTGTGTGTGTATGTGTGTGTGAGTGTTTGTTTGTGTGTGTGTGTGTGTGTGTTTGTTTGTGTGAGTGTGTGTGTGTATGTTTGTTTGTGTGTGTGTGTTAGTGTACAAAGACCTACACATTCAAGTACATAAAAATATGGATTCCTAGTAGCCCCATTGGTCCATCCGTCCACTGAATAGAAAAATTACATTGGAGTTGAAAACCCTTTACAAGGCCTAATCTTGAAAATAGGAATTGTGAAAAAGTTTGAACTACAGCAAACTTTTTTGAAGCCCAACACAACGCTCCCAGGGTACGAGGAGGGGGAAAGGAGCGTGAATCTTTACTAGGGAATAATTTAAATTGTTCCTTCACTTATCCTTCGGTATTTTCATTAGCCCGTAGTTAGGTTCCAATATTTCTACTGACAGAAAAACAGAGCGACATCCTTGCCTTGACACTCAGGTGACCCTCAATAGTCTATCCAAGTAGCCGGCTAATACTATAAGATGAATCAATAAATCTGAAAGACTTTTTTTTCAAACCAGCAGCCCTAAGGCGTCCGGGCCAGACAAATAGGTACCCATGGGTATACGTGCCCTAGCGCACGTACACACAGGCGATGCTACACCCACCGGTCTACTGTTTATCAATCCTGTTCATTCATGATCTCCTTTCCTGTACTTAGCTTGTAAGAGCATAAACGTACAATGAAGGTCTTTCATTCAATAATTTTGTACTTGTCGAAAACACCTAGGGTAATTTCCTCGGTACAATGAACCTGTAAATACTCTACATGGCATCTGTCTTGTCTTAGTAGCATGATGGCTCAGATTCGTCCACGTATAATTTTTAATGAGTCAGAGGGAAGATATTAATGCATAGGAATAACAGCCGGGAGAGATGTATGTACAGTTTTCACCTTTTCATAGTATGGTTGTGCATCATATCACAACGATACACACATGGCTCAGACTCCCACTTTCATAATGTCCTATTTTCATATTCATGCAAGAAACAATACAGGGTTGGCAAAACATGGGGAGGCAACGGGAAAGATGTGAGGATAACACCCGAGGATGGACCAGCAGGACAATTAGTGAAACGCTAAAAGGACCTAAAACCAAAAAGGGTGGAGAAAATTAGTTGTCGGATCATCTGTGATGCCCCAACGGCCGCAAAGTTAGACTAAGAGATATGAGGATAGATGATATTTTTATATTTCTGTACAACAGTTAGGCGAATTTCACAAAGAAAAATTCCTAGTACCGTATCTGGTCTCTCGGACTTCTCACGGTGGAACTTCGCCTGCAAAGCGCGGCCGTAAGACGGTCCTGTCACGAGAAAGCTTCTCATCATCATCTTTGTTTTCAGCCTCCTCTTCTACCTTCAAATTATCCTCATCAGAACTTGGAACAGACCCGCCCAACTCTGACTCAAGCTAGCCTCCGTAGCAGGCTTATAGAACTGGGGGTTTGGTGGTCTTCGGCTGTTTTCCAATTAGTCTAGTTAAACAGCAACGGGGATAATTCAACCAGGCCGGCTATGTTGTCTACATGCAATCAGAAAATAGCACATAAAAGTTCCCAAACACCATGAAGACCCTCAAAACCCCCAGTTTTTGGCATGCTATGAAGGCTGGAATCAAGCCCTTCCAATTCATCTGATGACAGGAGACGTCCTAAGGCATATGCGAACCATTCTCATCATCTACATTATCTCATGAAGATTCAGAATTGACTTTAAGCGACGCGTTTGCGTGATCATCATCATGTTACCTGGTCCAGCGAAGCTAGTTTTCAGGGTGGACTGTCCCAGCCTTGATATGTCTTGGTTCATGAGCGTGTTTCTTGCGTTGGGTCTACAAAAATTGTCAATGCGAGTGAATTCTTAATTACAAACTCTTCTCCCAAATGTTGCAAATGCTGTTTGTTTCTTCAGTTATGACCGTGTGGTATTAAACTCGACGGTTGCGCGGTCGGAGTCTGTAGTAGTCTAAAAGGGCAAGTAGGATGTATACACTAGGAGAAAATCTAGCAGGGGGTCTAAGACCACAAGAAAATTTCATTGGAGACAGTCACCCTGATTTTTAAAGTGTTTACTTTAAGGACTCTGATGGACACCACAACTCTTATGTGAAAGAATGCAGCGTGATAATTGCGTTGGCGTTCAGGTCGCATGTAACAAAAAGAAAGATCACTGCGTGGCCTGCCTTGGTGTCTGGCTGGAGCATCTGTGACATGTTGTTTTTACTGTGAAGATTCATCGCTTTTTAATCGTTCTGTTTTTTCCAAAATCATTCAAGAAAAATTAATGACATGAACCCAGTATATCTGATAAACCTTAGCATTGTGAGGTATGTGTAATTCCACACTCTTGTTCCACTCAACCCATTCCCAATACAATCTACACACATTTTTGTATGTATTTGCCAGTGTTTGTGTGCATCTCTCTCTCTCTCTTTCTCTCTCTCTGTGTATGTCTATGTATACATGTCCGTGTATATATTTGTATGTGGTAGTGTGCATGTGTGTGTGCGCGCGCGCGCGTGTGTGTGTGTGTTGCTTCCTTAATGATGCACAAACGTGTGCAGAAAAGTGACACACGATGAAAGCCCCCTACCAGTGATCAACAGACGCATCACACTGCGATGGGAAGTGTTTGGTAAAGTGGACAACATCATGAGAAGCCCGAAGGCTAGTGATAGACCCGAGAGGAACGTTTAAAGCCAGTACATTCTCCCTGTGATGACTTACGGCACTAAAATGGAAATGCTCAGGGTTGCACAGCGAAAGATGTACAGGATCATGCTGGGCATAACACTCGGAGAAAGGAAAAGAAACTCCTGGATCCGACAGGAGTAACGGACATCATCACTGCTGTCAACACTGCCTAGCACCACTGGGCAGGACATGTAGCGAGACTACAACACAACACGTGGACGCTAAGAGCCTGCTAAGTGAACACCTAGAGAGTGGAGGAGAGACAGACAACGGCCCTGTACAAGATGGAGTGGCAGTCTAGTGTAACACTGGGGTCTACATGGTCCAGAAATGTCATTCTAAATCCAAGCGCATTTCTTAAAAAAACTCCCAAACTGTGGGCTTGAATTATGTGGCCTCTACTTTGAGAAGTTGTAACCCTCCCCACATACTTCTTACTAAAGTACTGTATCGTTACCGTAAATAACTTGACAAATATTCTGTGTAATCCTACGAATGGCATGGTTAAATGTAATCATTCACTCCGTACATGATACGAGAATCTTAACATCGAAAGCTCATAACGCTGAAGATACAAATTAACATTGATGGGGAATGCCTGTTACATATCTCATTCACGGATAGTATCATCTTGGTATCAATTCAGTAGGCCTCAGCAGGAGGTAGGTCAGTAGGCAAATTCAGTAGGCCTCAGTTAGATAATGTATAACAAACATGTAAACAAATCACCAGTAGCGTACTACTAGTAAATGGGACAGAAATAAAAGCGGTGGGATGAGCAGCTAGCTTCATCTACGTGTGCAGAAAGTGACACACGATGGAATTTTCCTGCCTGAGATCAATAGATGCACACCGGGGTGGGAAACGTTTGGTAAAATGGACAACATAATAAGAAGTAAGAAGGCTAGTGTCAGACTCAAGACAAAACATGTAGTCTGGACAGGACATGTAGCAAGGCTACAGGACAACATGTAGACAATAAGAGTAATTAAGTGGACACTTGAGAGTAGAAGAGCCGCACAGGGCAGCCCTATTTGTGTGCGTTTGTGTTTGTGCGTGTGTGTGTATTTGTGTGTGTGTGTGTGTTTGTGTGAGTGTGTGTATGTTTGTTTGTGTGTGTTAGTGTACAAGACCTACACATTCAAGTACATAAAAATATGGATTTCTAGTAGCCCCATTGGTCCATCCGTCCACTGAATAGAAAAATTACATTGGAGTTGGAAACCCTTTTACAAGGCCTAATCTTGAAAAAAGGAATTGTCAAAAGTTTGAACTACAGCAAATTTTTTTGAAGCCCAACACAGCGCTCCCTGGGTACGAGGAGGGGGAGGGTAGCGTAAATCTTTACTAGGGAATAATTTAAATTGTTCCTTCACTTATCCTTCGGTATTTTT